TTTTTTTTTTTTTGATACCGGGGATCGAACTCGGGTCCTTGTGCTTGCAAGTCAGGTGGCAGAACCACTAAGCTAAATCCCCACCCCTGTTCTTCTATTTCTATACTGTTAACTCCACAGTTTAAACTTACCTTTAAATTCCATCTATCAGTGTATTGTCTAAGTACCCTAATAGATCGGCCTCCGTCCTCAGTAGTTCTAGATGAGGTCATAGATATCATTAAAGTGCTGCTCTCAATAGTACTTCTGCAAATGCTAACTTTTGAATTATATATTTCAGCTGCAATTACTCCTCTTTGCCAAGATCCCCGTCTGTCCATCTTTACTGGTTTGGGTACAATTATAGATTTATCTAATAATATAGGAAGTATAATAAAATATAAGAAGCAGACCAGATGGCCAGATCGTCAGATCCTTTTTGAAATGGACCCTGCCTACCAAAATAAAGTAAGTTTTTAAAAAGTTCATCTTAGGGAATTTTTGGTTTAGGGAGCAGAAACCCACTGAAATTCTTAAACAAAGGGGATTTATTGAAAAACTAGGAGTGTCATTCTCAGCTTACCTCTCCATGTGTCTTTCCTATAATCTCTTATCCCTGCTAACCACAGTGTATTTTCTCCAACTTCCATGTGGAGATGAGCTTTCTTTTTTAGGTTTGTCAAGATGTTTACTTGCCATCCCTCAATTCATCCACCACTATCTAACTGGATATTTTTGTTCAAATTCACAAGAGAACCTAATTGGCTTAGCTTGGGTCAGGATTTGAGCCTACACAAATTAGCTGTGTTAGGAACTGGGTAAGGTCACAGAGTGTGTGGGACTGGCCCTAGGGCTGTGTATAGAGGTCACAGTGTACAGGACTGGTCTTCTCTAGGGGCAGGTGTGCAGGTCACAGTGTATGGGACTGAGTTTCCCTAAAGCCACGTGTAGAGGTCCCAGTATATGGGCCTAGCCTAGCCTAGGGTCATGTATAGAAGTCGCACTGTATGAGACTACCCTTGCTTAGGGCAGTGTGTAGTCCATATACTCTTACACAGAATGAGAAATAAAGAAATAAATAATTGGTGTCTAAAGGATATGTCTCAAAATAGCATATTAAGTATAAACTTAAAGAGCCTAGTAGGCCTAAAAAGCCAAATATTAGAAAACTGTGAAATTTTTTACAATCTTATGTTTCCATTATATCTGGTATTTAGTAGAGGTTCTGAACAAAATGAACTCCACATAAGACTATTATTTTATCTTAATAGAAACTATCATCATATTAAGCCATACTTTTTCATTCTTATAATAAAAATTCTTTCCAAATTTTCTAACGTTTTTATTTACAGATTGTGAGCTTCCTGACTATTATTGGTAATTCGATGAGCCTTGTTAATATTTACAGCTACAAGTTTCTAAAGTATTGTACTATGGTGGAGAAGGCCAAAGCCCTAAGCATGAATATATCATCTATGGGAGAATTAACTTCAGCACAGTTTAATACTATACTGCATAAATTCAAAAACTACTTTGGACATATTGTGACTATGGCTATTGAGAAACGCATTGGCATTTTCAGTGTTTTAAGTTTTGATTATCAGTCAGAATGCTTACTGTATATCGATAACATCATACATATGAGCCAGGACCTCTTGCTGCATATAACTGAGGGAAAAAATACAAGCCTACTGGAAGTAAGTACTTTGAAGATTCTTCTTGAATAAGAATATTTTGTGTTAGATTATAATTTTAATATATGCAGTCATAAAATATGCATAAATATTTTCCTGGGGAAATTCCAATATGGTGTCATTACATTTGTCTTTTTTGCTTTAATATCTCTTCCTCAGAAAAACTCTCTGACCACCATATCCAAAATGGCACCCCGTATTATTTCCTACCTCTTTTCTTTGTCTGTCTTTATAACGTGAGTCATCACTCTCTGAAGTGATGCTCCATCATTTGTTGTCATCTCACGCACTATACTGTAAGCTGAATCAAGTTATGGAATGTCTCAGAGAAATCTCCCAGTACAAAGGCATAGTGAGGATTCACTATATAGTGGGGCTTTGTTTTTTCAAGGAAAGCTTCTTAGAGGATAGATTATTTCTAATCTCCAGTGATCTGGAGTTGTGGAGATTCTAGAGCTCTGAAAGTATGAAAATCTGGGAGGACCCAAAACCAGGCTTCTTCATTGATTATTCCTACCTGTCACACATCTAAGTTTCTCAGATAAGTACGGGTCCTAGTACACCAATCATGTCCACAGAGGCATCTTCAGTTGTACTCAGACATGTAAGCATATGAATTTATAATAGCTACTATTCATTCATTCATTTTTTTCTATCTGATCCCAAGTATTTATTAAACCTTGATTGTATGCTAGACATTGTGTTAGTCCCTTGGCATATAATAATGACAGGAATAGATTCATTCTTGCATTCAGAGTCTAGTAGAAAATATTTGTATAACTAATATAGCCTAGATATGGCCATAGATAATTTTCTAGAAAAATATTCACATCTGAGGAGAAGTAGGAGTAGTGTGAAGACATTAGTAGGAAAGGACAGCACTACACTAACTTAGATTCAGATGAATATGACAGAAAAAAAGAAAATAGCAGTGCCTAACACACATTAGAATCTAATTTCTCTCTCAGGTAGAAGTAGGAGGGGGAGAGGAGGGAGAGAAGAGAGAGAGGAGAGAGAGAACTGACAGTACAGTGGCCTCATGAAGTCCTCAGAGACGTAGCTGCTTCCGGCCACCACTCTGCCTTCCCTAGTGCATGATGCTCACGCACATCACCTAAGATGATTGTCCTGTCTCTGCCCATCATGTCCTCATGCCAGGCACCAGGATGGAGGAAGGTAGCAAAAACAGAGAATCTCCAAATTCTACCTTTAAGGATATTTACCTGAAGCATATCCCACACTTTTGCTTGTGTATGTAGGAAAAACTTAGCTATGTGCTCTTTTCTAACTCAAGAATGAAAACTTTTAACTGTTAGCATAGTACTCACACACCTCCAGGAATTATCACTAAGGCGGTGAAAAAAGTGAAGACTGAGGTATGTGCTAAGCAGATACTGTCACATCGGGAAGTGGGATAGAAATTGAAGGGCCAGAGAGAGCAAGGTACACTTGAAAATGTGAATGAATCCAGTGTAGTGTGAGTACAGTCTGTGAAAAGGAACTGGCCAGAGATGAAGTAAGAAGTTGGGTGCAGGACTTTGTTACTCATGTCAGGGATTTTTTATGCATATTGAAGTGTTTATTTTTTTTCCTCATTGAGTTTATTGGTACATTTTAGGTATACAGTACAGGGGTTTTAGACATTATTCTTAAAACTATAGAATCAGTGCAATGTTTTAATCAGAGAAACAGCATGACACAAGTTGCATTTCTGTAAGGACACTCTGGCTGCAGTATAAGAATAGATTGAAGGAGGATGTGGTGGAAAGAAAGCTTCTTCTGTAATCTAGAGGAGATGTGAGGATAGCCTGGACCCTGGTGGAAACATGGTGGAGTCTGAGAAGTAATGGAAATGAGGTGTGTGAAGGAGATGGCTTGGACAGGATTTGGTGATTGACTATGAGGAATAAGAGAAATACAGAAGTCAGTCATAAGCTTTTGGTTAGATATCAGGCTGGGCAACAATGTAGTTCAGTAGGAAAAGGAACATGGTGTTTGTTAAATTGTTATGGTTTACATCTAAAATTTTCCCTAAATATCTCACGTGTTTGGAAAGTGTTTGGGTCAGGGAGGTACTATAGCAGACTTGTGTTAAGCAGGTGAGTCTGGTTAGAGGTGGATCACTAGGGGCCGGCCCTGAGTAGGTTCTTGTCCTTAGTTCCTCCTCTCCTACTATGCTTCTTGGTTCCATGGGTTGAGCACCATTTCTCTGCCATGCCATTTCTGCCTTCGAGCTGACCTACCATGGACTGAATCCTCTTTAAGACATGAACCAAAATAAATCTTTCTTCCTTTAAGTTGCAGATGTCAGGTACTTTGTACCAGAGACAAGAAAACTGACCAATACAGAACTTGGTACCAGAGAATTTGAGTTATTCTGTTACTTTATCTTACCATGTGATTCAGAAGCCTTTGGAATTGGCTTGGGGGTGGTGTTGGAAAGGTTTGGAGGTGTGGGTTAGAGAAATCTTAGAATGCTGTAAGCAGAGTAAGCATAGATTGATGGGAGGCTCTGGCTGGAACTCAGCAGTTCCCAGCATGTTGATATGAATGCAGACAGTAAAGGCCAGGCTCAGGAGGTTTCAGTTGGAAATGAGCATTCTATTGGTGGTTGGACTGGAGGCCATGTGTGTTATGCTCTGTCAGAAATTTATCAGTATTTTGTCCATGACTGGAGATATTGTGGGAAACAGATTAAGGGTGGTGGACTAATGAATCCAGTGGAGAATATATCAAAGTAGCCCAGGGTTCAGGCTGTGTGTGGACACTGGTGGTTGCTTTTGGCCAGATCTACAATGAAAATCAGGAGCAAAAATCAGATAAGAAAACTGCAGTTTCATCAGAAAGGAAGTGGCAAAGTAGAGGTCATGAAAGTGAAGAGCATGGCTGCTGAAAAGACTGGCCAAGGACTTTGCTTCAGATCAATCGGAAAAATGCCTTGATGGCATCTCAGGAATGTGGAAGGTCTTACCTTTGCAGGTTCAAGGGCACAAAACTAAAAGTTTTATTTGAGAATAGAGCCTGTGGCTTTCTGCTTAAGAAGGGACAGCTAGTGAATTGGTTCCTTGGGTCTTTTTCTCATAGGGCTCAGCTGTCTAGGCCCTCAGAGGCCTCTGTAGTCGTGATCCAAGGGTGGTCTGGGTATTGCTCAACCTGCCAGTGGCAGAACCTGGCATCATCCTGTGGTGCTTGTTTTATAGGTAGTCAGAATGCAAGAGTTGTGGAGACAATAAGGCTTCCACCCAGATTTCAGAAGAAGGTCTGGGAGGCTAGGCAAAGAACCTCTGAAAAGATCATAGGTGAAATGTGAGAGTGATCGGTGGAGACCTCAGGATACTGGAGATGCTAGGAACATGAGATGTCTGCTGAGGAAAGCCACAGGCAGTGAGCAGAGCCAGTATAAAAGAGAGACCATGTCAGCTGCAGCCAGCAAGACCGAAGAACAATCCCTGCTATGCGTTAGTCTTGCTTTGGTCTGATTCTTTTATATTCCCCATTCCTCCTTTTTGGAATGGGAATATTTACTTTGTGCCATTTTATATTGAAAATGCATAACTTTGTTTTTCAACTTTCTTGAGCTCACAGCTGAGTTTGCTTTTAATCTCAGAGGAGATTTTGTATTTGTATTTTTCAGCAATATTGGAACTGTTAGGAAAAGTTTTCTTTTTTCCTCTCTCATTGAGCTTATTGGTACATTTTAGGTATACAGTACAGTTACATTCATCATTGGGATCTTGTACCTTTGCATGACAGGTCTTGGTTCTCATATTTGCCCCAGACCCCTTCCCTCCTTTCACCCCTCCTCCCTTCCCTATTTACATTTTTTCATTTTCTCAGATTTTTTTTCTTTTCCCTTATTTCTTTCCCCTACCCTTCCCACTTCCCTTACACCTTTAGCCCTTTTCTTCCTATTTCACATTGTCATTTATACCATTAGGATCTTATTTACAATTATAGTTTTTCCACAGTTTTCAATTGATAATAATTGTGCCTCAGATAAACCTCATTGGCTACGATACTGTTGCTGTGCAAAGCTCAGTATTGGAACTGTTCAGACTTAGTGAATCTTGGTGATGAATAAATGCATTTTTTCATAATGAGATGAACATGCGGATCAGGAGTAGAATGTTACAGTTCGGCTCCAGAATGTCCCCTCAGTGTCTCATGTGTTTGGAAGGCGATTAGTCACTGAGGGCACTAAACTCATCTGCGGATTCACCCATTGAGTTTTGTAGCTGAGCGTACTATTGGGAAGGGAGGTCTGGTAGGAGGTGAGTCACTGGAAGGATATATTCTGCCCCTGGTTCCTCCCTTTTCTCTCTGCTTTCTGGCTGCACATGCCCTTCTACCATGCATTTCTGCCACAATCAGCCCACTTTTGACTGAATGCATTAGAAACTGTGAGCAAAAGTACGCCCCCCTAAGGTGTTGGTGTTGTGTATTTTGTCCCAGTGACACAACAGTGACTAAGACAATGGCGATCAGCTAGTACGATCTCAAGCTTCTTAGCTTAGGACCTGTTTTGTGGCCTAACATATGATCTACGTGAAGATTGCCCCATATGTCTTTGAGAGGATCTTGTATGCACTTGCTATTGGATGGAAGACTTTATATGTCTGTTGGCTTCATTTGGTATGTAATGTTTCTGAAGTCGATGTTTTAGTATTCATTTATTTTTTGTCTACATGAGCTTTCTACGTCACCCTCTCCTACCTCCTCCTTTGCTTTGTATGTTTGAGTGCTCCAAATTGGGCACATATGTATTTACAATTGTTCTATTGTCTTCATGAACTGACTCTTCATTATTATGTAATGAACTTTTGGGGTCTTTTTGTAGTGCTTGCATGTTTTATTTGACATATAAGTTTAGCTACTCCTGCACTCTTTTGGGTTTCATTTGCATGGAATAATGTATTTCTATCTTTCTATTTTCAGTCTATTTGCATTATTACAAGTGAATTAAGTCTTTTTTAGACAGAAAGTAATTGTTTTTCTTAACCATTCAGCCACTGTCTTTTGAGAAGAGAATTTAATCCATTTACATTCAAAGTAATAATCGATTCATATGGACTTGTTATTGCCTTATGCATTTAAGGACATATGTAACTATTGCCTTATGCCACTAATGCCACTTTGTTTTCTGATTGTTTTTTGATCATTTGCTCCTTTCTTCCTCTATTACTCTTCTGCTTTGCAGATATGTAACATTCTCTTCTGGTATGCTTTGGCTCCTTATTTTTTATTTTTACTTCTGTGTGTATTTACTATAGGTTTTTGCTTTGTGGTTGCCTGAGGCTTACAAAAAACCTATCAGGCTATTTTATACCAATAATAACTTAAATGATCACAAAAAGACTACACATTTATTTCCTTTCCTAGCATTTTCAAATATTAATGTCACTCTTTCACTATAGCCCTTAATAAAATATTATAGCTATTGTTATTTTAGTAGTTTTGTTTTCTAATCGTCATACTAATGATATGGGAGGTATAGACCATCACTACTATATTAAAATACAGTAAGTCCCCAACTTATGAACATTTGAATTGTGAGCTTTCACAGATACAAATGGACCTCGCCTTATGAACATTTGTAGATGTGAACAAATTGTGGCAGCAGCTCATGTGTGTGCTGCACACTCACTGTTGTGCTGTGCAGTGCTTACTGCACAGTGTGAGTGTGCAGTAGTATAGTGCTCAGTCAGAGCCCACCATGTCCAGGGCTCACGGTGTCTACTCAAAGCAGGCCCCAAATGTGATGAGTATACTGTCCCCATAATCTAATTACCGTCCAAACACAGGGGACCTTTAGGGAATACTCCGGATACAAACCACAGCAGACTAATACACATAATTAATTCTAGGCTATGAAGATTGAAGATAGAACTCATTTTGATTCCAAAATGACATAAAAATGTACATGAGTTATTGAGTCCTTACAACATGAAGAATTTAAAATTTTTTTAAATTTTAATACAGAAATGCAATTACTTCAAAGATTGTATGGAATGGGGAAAAGCATATAGCTTAGTGGTGTAGAGCATTTTTTTTATTATTTGCAAGGTCTGGTTTGATTCCTAGCACTGCAAAAACAAAATTTAGAATGATGGATGTTATACTCATGATGGATGCAAGTATGGTGGAAAAGAATAGGATTTGGAATCAGATTTTACTTTGGATCCTAGTTCTGTAACTAATCATGTTTCTGATTTTGGGCTAATCCCTTTGAGACTTCCTCTACAAAGTGGAGGAAATGACACTTAATTAGCATACATACTATTTGAGTAAGGTGAGCTAACATAACCTAAAGAACCTAGAACAGAAATGCTCAAGAGGTGGTAGCAATGATTATGCACCATTCACATTGTAGTCATACCATTTGTGTCACATTTATGTCATAGAAAAAAATTATTCACACTTAGTACTGTTTTAATGTCTTAATAGCATTGATTTTACATGATATATTTAAGTGCCTTATGTTAATAATAGAAATATTTGATCATGTTAATGCCCAATACTTAGAACTATGTCCCAAGTGATATCTTCATTTTTTCCCTGAAATTATAGAAGTCAGAAAAATTAAAAATAAATTTAAAAATAGTGAAAAATCACATAATTATAATTGTCATGATTTCAGATTGTAGAATCATCATTGCGACAACTGGAATGTGATCCCACTAAAATGGAAGAATTTGTAGAACATTTTACTTTTTTGGATGAAATCTCCTCAGAAATATCCGAATTAGAGAAAGAGTATCTGACAGTTTCTCAGCTGTATTCTGTTGTAAGACATTACCAGATCAACGTTTCAGAAGAGCAAATTGCCATATACACAATCCTTTGCATCAAGTTTAATCAACTAAAAACAGTTATAAAGTTCAGCAAACTAAATAAAGATGCCACTATAACTAAATTTAGGGATAATTTGGAAGAATGTATCACTGATCTCCGAGTGGATGTTAGTAATTTAAAAGCCAAAGTAAGCTTTTGGGTTTTTGTTTATTTTCATTAAAAACTTGATCTAAGTCTCATGTAATGCTATGAGTATGGGTATTTACTTTCAATAGAATCTTGGCTTAAATAATTCAATTCAAGTATTTTTAACCTGAGATTCACAGAATTTTAATGATTAGTGAATTTGAATAGGAAATAAAATTGCATCTCTATTGTCCGTAAACTCTAACTGGAATTTAATATTGTCTTCATCTCTGAATGAGGCCACAGACAGAAGCAGAACTGGTATCTTTTATCATCCAGCAGACGGTCAAGGGGCCCCGGGTGTGGAAAGGGCTAAAGACCCTGTGTTCATCTGAGCCTTTGTCTGGGATCAGTGATAATGATAGTCTTGACTTCATTCACCTGTAGTGTTAAGAATTATCTGTACACCAACACAATTGTCAATGAAATGTTCTGAGTCTGAAAGTCTTGTGCTCTCAGAATATCTTACTGTTGCTTTTTAGATAAGAACTCCTGTTCTGCTGTGTACCAACACCATTGTGCCAACAGCAAAGGAGATGATCCAGACTCTCTCTGAGGAGGCTGCCAGCCTGGCTCACAAAGCTAGAATGTATGCAAACTACCAGGATCATTTCAGTGACGCCCAGGCTCATATGCGTTCTCTCAATGTGGAAGAAATCACACAGATTATGCTCTCAGAGATCTCTGACATTGACTGTGAGTTAACTTTGAGGAAAATACTGTGGGAAAGCACAGGAGGAATGGGGCACGCTCTTCCGGGAGTGGAGGAACTGTTCTCTTCAGAGTATTGACGTAGACTTAGTGCAAAGAAATGTTTCCAAATGGCTGCATACAATCTTTGTACTAGAAAAAGGTAAGAGTATGTTTCTCAAACTCTTCTCCCCACCTGGGGTCACACACCTGGGGTCTCTGGGAAGCAGGTTCACCGTCCATGTTGAAGCTGCTGGACCTGTTCTCGGGCCTGAGTGTTGTGGCCAGAGATACTGAGATACAAGGGTGCAAGAGCCTAGGTAGGAACTGAGATTAGAGCTTCGCCCTCCTCCCCCAGTTAAATAGTTAAAACAATTTTGTAATCTTTAAAAGTTGGCTCCTGAATTTTCTTAGAGTTTTGGACAGAGATGCTTTGATGATAGCGGCTGCCTGCAGAATCTTTACCCAAGTCCTGTGCTATTTCTGTGCTATGCCTACAGCACCTTTGGGGCAGTAGGGTAGAGTGTTTATCTGGGCAAGAGATTGTTTCTGCTTTTTGCTAGGTTCTGCCCTTCCCTCCTAGCCTTACTTCTAGCTAAAATTTCTTCTCCAGAAAACACTTTGTTCTAATTTTGCAAACTGTTTAGAAAAAAGAAAAACTTATGGGAAATCAGTCCCATTGCTTTAACCTAACATCTGTTGTACGCATTCTTTCTCAATATTTTGCCACATACATGTTTTAGAGAATCATATATAAAGTAACAAGCAAACAAAATATACTTTTGCCCATAGATTCCCAGATAAAAATACACTCTTTTCCAAAGCACAGACTGGAAAAACCCAAACTTATTCTTTTTATCTTCTATTTAACCAGAAAAAAACACCTACCTCTTCAGTGTGGCTTTATAGAAGAATCTCATCTGTACAAGCTGACTTTTCAGGAATGTGGGTGTTGTTTTTGCTTTTTTTTTTTTTTTAACTTTATTCGCTTTATTTTTTCTTGTGTAAAACTCCTATGTTGTAGCTACTGCTGGAGCTTGTACCCTTTGCATGGAGACTTTAGTGTGGGTTTTTATAAGATGGTCAGTGAATTCCTGGTAGTTTTTATTTTTCTGTGTCCTCAACTTTGACTGTTTCTTCCACTTTTCTTTTACAAGCCTAGAGAGGGGTGATGAAGGTTGACCCTTCAACTGTGTAGGTTTTGAGTTTTGTTCCTCCATGGTTTTTAGTGCCAGAAGACAGACTAATGGTGGTATATGGCAGAGTTGTCACCTACATTTCCTACATGTCATAGTTTAAGTATTTTCTTTGTGAAATGATAGTGATGGTGGGGTTTTTTCCTTGATGTTCTTCCTAACTTAGGAAAAATTTTAAAGCCCCCACCTCTGCCAGTCTTCTGACTGTGTGTGTGGACCATTGTCTGTATATCTGTCTTTTCAGTGGAAGCTGCATGAGGAGAGCTAGCCCTCCCAGCACTACATTTCCCAGGATACCCTGGCTCTGATAGTCTTGAGTTTCAGTCATCAGTCCTGATGACTATTTTTCTTTATTTTAATCCCTAGTTAATTCTTATGGTGAGTGATGTTAATAAAGTTCCTTCTTTTATATTATAATGTAGACTAACAACTTAAAAACTAGCATTACATAATCAAATTTTAAAGAAAAAAAATCTTAATTTTTAAATTAGTTTGGTTAAAAACTATGATGAACATATTGTAAGCCCCTAAATTGTTAATTACAGGTTTGCCTAAAAATGACGTGGTAATGCATCTTAAGCAATCAGTGACAGATTTTAAGCGAGACCTGCCCATCATTGTAGCACTGGGAAACCCTTGCCCCAAGCCGCGGCACTGGGAGGCACTGCAGGAGATAGTGGGAAAGTCTGTGGCCCTTAACAAAAACTGTACAGTAGACAGTCTTCTAGCCCTCAAGGCACGTAGGCATAGTGAGGAAAACAGATTAAAATTGTAGAGGGGTCATTTAAAGTAGGCAAGTAAATTGACTAGGAGTAGGAATAAGAAAAATGTATGTAGCAAGTAGGAAACTAAGAGCATATTAGTAATAATAGGTGATAGGAGGTTATGTTTAGTTAGAGGTAGAGGATAGACTATTTGCTATGCTGTTACTACATAGGTTATGAGAAAAGTAATACTAGTTTCATATGTGACAAATTCCATTAACAGTGATACTTCTTTTTTTTTAACTTAAATTGAATTTATTGGTACATTCTAGGTAGACAGTACAGTTACATTCATTACTGGGATCTTGTACCTTTACATGCCAGGCCTTGGTTCTCATTTTTTCCCCTTGTCCCCACCCTCCCTTCACCCCCTCCTCCCCTCCCCACCTTCAAACACTTTAATTCCATTTTTACATTTTCTCATATTTTTTTCCTTTTCCCTTGTTCCCCTTCCCTATCCTTCTCACTGTCCCTACACCTTTGGTCCTTTTCTTCCTATTTCACATTGCTAATTGTCCTGTTAGGATCTTGAGTACTATTTTAGTTTTTCACACCAGAGAAACTATTCAGTATTTGCATATGTATGACTTATATATTTCACTTAGGAGTTTATCCTCAAATTGTACCCATTTACCTATGAATGAATCTACTTTCTCATTCTTTATGGCTGAGCAGTATTCCATTTTATAGACAAACCACATCTTCTTTATCCAGTTTCCAACTGATGGGCAGATGGGCTGTTTCTAAGTTTTAGCTATTACAAACTGTGCCGCTATAAACATGGGTGCGCATATATCACTAACAGTGATACTTCTTATAGAGGCAACATTTCATAGAAATGGAAAAATCAAAACTATTGGGTCCCATTCTGTATAAGGTGAAAAATTTTACGAGCATTGTAAGAGCATGGTACCAACAACAACTTTTATTATAAGGCAGGTGCTGCACCACTGAGCTACATCCCTGGTCCCATGGTCAACTTCTGTGACACAATCCTCCTCACTTTTTAATCATCCTATTTCACATTCTTCATGCTTAATAAAAATTTCTAAATTTCCTCTTATTCTCCTCGGTGTGAAGAATATATACTCTCTGTATATGTGTAAATGGCATTATTCATTCTAGCTTCCTTTCCTCTGCACAAATACCAAATGCCCAATTGCTTTGTGACATGGTTCTTACCTTATAACTCTTGCAATACACTCATCTAAGAAAATGCAGCTCTGATGGGCCCAGACTTCTGTGGCTTCCCTTTCCCTGCTAAATCTCCCTTAGGATGTGGCCCTCAGAACACACCAGTGGAGCACATACAGGCCTTCCCCTCTGTGCACCATCAGTTCTCAAGGCATAGGTAACGAGTCACTCGTGGAAAATCTCCAGGTCTATTCACCATAGTAAAAGCACTCAGAGAGGACGTCATCTCTACATCTCAATTAACTGGCTGGGTTTACTGTTTTTATCACTGGTTAAGAATATGAATCTACCCCTGTGCACCTGTTAGCTCTATGGGGCTAAACAAGAGCTTTTCAGCCTCCTCCTCCCCAGTTCTACTCTCCTACTTCCTTTCTGAGTCAGTGGCGACTCCATTCTTCCAGTAGAGTATATTGAAAACCATGGTGTAATCTCTGAATCTTCTCTCGCTCTTCTTCTCATCCGAGGTAAATCTTTCATATTTTCCTGGACTGTTGGCAGAGCCTCCTAACTGGTCTGTGTGCCAAAGAGGAACTCAGCAGGATAATCTAGATAATTTCAGAACATAAGGGTTCATGCCAACAGCTGAGTTTATTCAAATCAGCATGCTGAAAATCTAGCACAGTTTCAATGGCATTTTCATTTCAAAGCCCTGGGCTATTGGAAACATTCCTGGGCATGTGAAACTGATAATGAGAACTTGGCAAACAAGAGAAGCAGTAAGAAATGAACGAATCGGTGGACCAAAAAGGGAATGTCTGGTGTCTGGCACGGGCTGGTGACCTATGATATTTCAGAAGATTCCAGGACACTAGCCTCACCTTTCTAGCATGAACGGAGTGTGAAAAGGAAGTCCTGTGTAGTTTTTGGAGAGTTTAGATTAGTTTAGCATGCCATCTAAAAAAAAAATGAACAAATGTCATCAGCTATGAAGTAGTATAGCTAGGCACTTAAGGGACACACCTCCTGCTTGAAGTTAGTTACAGCAGTGGTCAGAGGAGATGACAGTCTTCCGGTAATCTTGAGTGAATTCTAAGAATTCCTGGATGGTGTTAGTCATCTTGTAGAAATATGACAACTTATCCAATATAGTGTAGGTGCAAGTGAAAGGCCCTGAGTTTGATTCGTGACACAAAAAAATGTCAGCCATGGAGTCTCAGGTCAAGGTATAAACCTACTGGCAGTCAGGCCTTCAGGTATACCTTTTGAAATGTGCATTTAAGTCTTCCATTTTAAGTGTTTCAGGGATTATTTGTTCCACTGGCTGTTAAAGAATAATTTTCTCACTTTAGATGTTTCAATATGAACATGAAATAAATGAAGTATCCACCTCAGCCAATAATGAAGCTGCTCTTGAAAAAATGCTGTCTAAGATTATTGATCTTTGGAATGGCACTCCTTTACATCTGGCTCTTCATCATACAGAGATGTACTCCGTCCCGATAATTTCATCTGTAAACGATATATTGGCTCAGAAGAGTCTCAAGTCATACTTGCAGCAATTAAAGTATCTTCTTATCTTGGGCCTTTAAGGTAAATACTACAGCAAAAGGAAAATGTTTTAATTTTCTACAGTTTTGTACTTTAATATTTTACATTCTGCAATTTTACGTTTGCTTTAAATTATTAAAATCTCTTATGTTCTCATATAGAAGTGAGATTGAATATTTAATAGTTTGAATACTAAACTTTTATGGAAGCATTAATTGTTCACGGGGAAATGTCAGAAAGTTTAATTTGGACAGGCAAGATAAGTTTACATCATATAAAAGCCTGATTCCACAAACCCTGATAAATTTAAAATAAAAATATGAATGTATTTTTAAAATAAAAATATGACCCCCAAACTCTAGCTGTTTCAGCAGTGTTGCATATGCACTGAATATAACAGACCTGAAAATCATTTCAGACTTCAGAAAACTCAGCAAGATATGTAGTAATATGCAAATATTCAATAGCAAATTAATATAAATGATCATACACACATATATAAATATCTATGTAGACATTGATAAACGAAGAGTTACAGAGAAGTAAGTACTCAACAAATGAAATTCATATTATTTATAAGCACACAAACACTTCCATAGAGAAAAAAAATCTCAGTAAGTTATAGATAACCAACAAGATTATATTATGTAATAATGTGACAAATTGTGAAAAAATGAAGTGAGAAAATAGCAAAAAAGGCCAATAAAACAAGACACACACAAGAATGAAAATTTTAAAATAACCACCTGAATATACAGGAAATACAATGCAAAGTTTTAAAATTTTAGAAATAAGCAACAAGGAGATAATTATATATCAAACTTTGTCACCATTTTCTAGAGCCCTCTTATGAATACTTTTATTAAGAAGCAGTGATAAATGAGGGACACTGAAGAAGCTGCACTGTGCTGCATGCACACACTGCACATGCTCACCCCAAGACATCCGCTTCCAAGCGAGATGGAGTATAGGGACCAGATTCTCCATCTTGCACAAACACCCAAAGCAAACCAGACAAAGATATATGGAACAGTGGTTTCCAGGACACTGGACATCAGGGAACAAAGTACACGTCTGAGATATGAGAAACAGACAAGGTAAATACTGTGACTGCACCAACCTATGGCTTTCGTTTTGAGATTTCGGCTGAGGCAGAAGCCTGTTGGGTTCCCTGGCTTGAGGAGATGCGGTTGAGTTTGGAGACCAAATGAGACTTAATTTGCAAGACTAAGCATCAGGGCAGACTGGAAAGTTCTGTGGACAGTCCCACTCAGGTGCCCCAGAGGTGCATGGCTATGAGCAGACCACCAGAGGCCAGGGAGGCAGGGCAACATGAGGGGTTTGGAGAGAGCGGTGAAAACAATGCCTGTGTCCACCAACCACAGTGAAGAACCTCATGATTCATCAGCTTTAGCAAGTTGGCTCCAGTCTTGCCCCAGACACTAAATAATTAGCTCTAAACTAGATTCTGCTAACTATCAAATCCTAGAAGCAAAACTCACAATGATGAAACCAATCCTCAGCAGTTTAATGGTGCACAGAGTAGAGAGCTTCAGGCTATTTATAGGAATAAAAAAATATTGAGTAATCAATATGGTAAAATCCACAATATGTAGGACACAGATTATCTGATATGCAAAGAGGAGCATAAAGACCATAATGAAAGAAAAAACTGATCAATAGAAACTTATCCAGAACTGACCCAGAGGTCAGAATTAGAAACAGGGACACCAAAGCACACAAAGACAAAAGAAGTAGCCCTTTTGAATGCAGATGTGGAAATTCCAGACAAAATACTTTAATCAGGTATCTATATCTCAAGGGGGATTAATTTGAAAAATGTAAGGTTGATTTAATGTTAATAAAGTCAATGTATTTCACTGTTACAAACTTAAAAAGAAAAACCATATGATCTTATAACACTGGGAAAACTACAAAAACCAACATCCATTTCCGAATTTAAAACTGTCAACAAATTGGGACTAGAAAAAAGCCTGATGAAGGACACATGTGAAAAGCATGCCTGCCACTACCCAGGGGGGAGACTGGGCACCCCTGCCCTAGGATAGAGAGCAAAACGTTCTCTTGTCAGCTCTGCTCAATGTGTCCTGGAGCCACTGAAGTCAGGCAAGAAAGAATGCCAAGAGTCACCTGGGTGAACGGAAGGGAGAAAACATTCTTCTTACTCAGATGACCTGACTATCTGTGTCAAACATCCAGTAAAGTCATTTAAAAAGTACGCAAACTTACTTCAGCAAATGTGTGAGGTACGAGATTAGTGTACAAAAACCAGCTGCATTGGATGTACTGGAACTGAACAACTGGAAACTGAACTTTAAACGTGGCTGGGTGTGGTAGCACATAGCATTCTGGGAAGCTAAAACAGGAGGGTGAGCCCAGCCACCAATACCCTGTCTCAAAATAAAGTGTTTAAAGGGATGGATATGTAGTTCAGTGTGAACGCCCTTGGTTCAACTGTAGTATTGCAAATAAACCTTCACCATATATTTTGATCACCCTTTCTATATGTATGCAGTGAAATATTACTATGCAATGAAAAGTAAATAAACTGCTTATATATGTCACAACGAGAATAAATCTCACAATAATTAGGCAAAGTGGAAGAAGTCAGACAAAACAGAACATATATTGTATAATTTCACTTACATAAAGTTCTAGAAAAGGAAAGTGGAGCTACATAAAGCAGATTAGTATTTGCCAGAGGAGAGAGCAGGTGGAACTAGAAGGAAGGAATCAGAACCGGCAGGAGGCACCTTGCAGGGTGATTGGAGTCTCAGAACTTCTGAAATCATAATTATACTTCCTGCCAGGCATGGTGGTACACTCCTGTAATTCTGGCTGTTCAGGAGGCCGTGACAGGAGGATCACAAGTTCAAGGCCAATTTAGGCAACTTAGTGAGATCCTGTCAGAGAGAGAGAGAAAGAGAGACAGAGAGAGAGAGAGAGGGAGGGGCAGGGAAGGGAGGGATACATCTTAATACAGCTATTCATACACAGAGATAAAGAAATCTGGGGTAACTACCAGAAAGCAAATATAAATGAATTACAAGTGGTTCTCCTTGTGGAGCCAGTGAGGAGAAGGGCCTGTCTTTTGGTTTTTAAATAAATATTTTAATAGTAGTTTATTTTCAATCATTTCCTCATTATTTTAACAAACTAATTGGGGAAAGAATTATACACTGGAATTTCTAAAATATTTTTTAAATGAAAAAACCCTATAATCTCTGACAGAAAACCTCTCTAGAAGATAGTATTGACTTTTAAAAAGCAACTTACGAAATGTATATTGTATGGATGCATTTCTGTAAACTACTAAAGACTTTACGTGAAAATGTACATGTGTGCAAAAAGGCTTAAAGAAAGGTTTAAATAATATGCAGACCAAACTCCTGGTTATATTTCTTCTGTGACAGGAAGTAGGAAATAAGTGTTGTGTGGGGGACATTCATATTAATTTCTACACACACGTGCATGCCTCTCAAATCTTGTACAGAAATGTTTGTCATGTGTAAGAGCGAAAACTGAATGAATGGGACTCTCCAAAACAGTATGTGATTAGATTTATATTGATTTATGTGAACCTCTATTAATCATTTTTGTATGTCAATAATTGGCGATTGTCTTAATTACTTTTCTCTCTCTCTCTTTTTTTTTTTTTTTTTTTTTTTTTTTTTTTTTTTTTTGGTACCGGGGATCAAACTTGGGACCTTGTGCTTGTGAGGCAGGCGCTGGAACCACTGAGCTAAATCCCTGGCCCAGTTACTTTTCTGTTGCTAAGACCAGATACCCGGCACCCAGAGTTAAAGGGGGACAGGCTTATTTGGCTCGCAGTGTGTAGAGGTTTCAGTCCATAGTTGGCTGGCTCCAAGGCAGGGTGACGTGGCAGAGGGGTAACAGTTCACGGCAGTGGAACACAGCAAAGGCAACAAGGGGCCTTAGCAGCTTTTCTGCCCCTTTTATGCCGTCCAGACTACGTAGAGCAAGTAGCGCTCACTCTGGTAATTCCAGTGCTCTTGAGCCTAGCGTTGCACTATGCCTCACACACTCTGGATTCAGCCACCTCCAAAACAAGCCCCGGAGGCTTTGGGGGGACATCTACACACAAGCCATAACCTCGGTCATCTTTTGTGTTAGTTCTATTTATGTGATTCTTAGAATTTCATGTATTTAGACTTTTCAGGAGTATTTTTATCATTGTAGGAGCTTGTGAAAGAATGGGGTCAAAACTTAAGTCTCTTCTCCTAAACCCTTGAGGAATGGATGAATTGTCAAAGAACGTGGCTTTGTCCTGAACCAATCTTTCATTCACTAGAAATACAAAGGTAAAAAACAATAAAAATATATTATACGCAGGGTTTTAAACCACTGCAAGGTGGGGAATTTGGTTTCTGCAATCCTTGAGAAGGCATTTCTTCGATGAACAAACTATCCTACCTGCAAACACAGATGTGTAATTTGTTGAATCACTTTTCTTTCATAAAAGATTATAACCATTTTCATTTTAAAAGCCTTATTTCTCAATTCTTTTTTAAAATTCCTGATATAAAAATAGAAAAAACTGGGAAAGAAGTGTCAGATATATCATCATAGTCCTGAAGCAACAACATGATGTGTCTGTTTAGTTTTGGAATACTAGTGTGGTTGTGATGTGAATAGTAATATTTGTAGCAGCCCTTGTATATTAAGATGTTCTTACTTTGGGCCAGGTGGAAGACTGGAAGGCCTTTGCAGTATTAAAACTTTAATATTTTCTTTGGATTCATAGCATTCAGATGAATTGGCTTCAAACTTTTTAAAGTGATTGGTTGGAGAAGTACTTAAGACAAAGGAGTTATGTAGGTAAAATTTAAACCATGGACAGTAAATCACACAAGCTAGTTGAGTCATTCTGAAACATACTAAGAAACTATGGGTGTATACTTGAAAGGCCCAGCAGAGTGACAGAAGACCCTGAATGTCAGGCTAAGTACTTCAAACTTTATTTGGAGGAAGCCACTGGAAATTGACTGAATAGAATTGTCTACATGTTGAGTGCCGCTTTGTAGGAAACAAGGCTCATTTTTGTCATACATGTGTAGTCTCATCATGCCAGTGCCTGGGCATCTCCTCTCTTGTGTGCCCACAGCTACTGTGAGGGTCTTCAAAGGCAAAGCCACTTGTTGGGGGTACACCCTGTAGGGCTGCCACAGCATTGAGCCTTAAATCCAATCTGTAACACTACTTTTTTTACTAAATAGTTTTCATTAGTGTAGAGATCAGACTCCTAGGGAAAGGTGTTTGAAACGTCACCTAGTTGTTCCTTTACAGAACATGCTGAAGTTGAAGAGGAGGTGTTTAAAATTAAAAGTGCTGGAGTATTCGTATATAAATAGTAATACAGTTAGCATAAAGACAAGAAAATATGGGTTGGTCGTGGAGGACAGAGACGGGACCTGATACCCGTGGAGAACGTGAGCAAAGAAGGGAGAAGAGACCCATCGGGGGAGGATTCTGTAAAGTGGATCTGTGAGCCTAAGGGTGCTGGGCCTTTGCCCCACTGTGTGGTGCAGGAGAGCTCTCTAGAGTCTGGGGGGCTCAGCAGAGAAGTGGAGCCGCCTCCTGGTAGGGTTTTGCTGAGCTGCAGAAACTTCTAAGGCCCTTAGAGAAGGTGGTGGGACAACCCTTGGGAACCTGCAGTGTGGAGCATTAGAAAGAGGTTTCCTTCCTCTCTGCAGAATTCTGAGCAGCTTTTAATAACTGGACAAGGAAGAAGGGCAGGAACACAGGGCTATCTGACTCGGCGCTGTGAACATTTTGCTGTAGAACATTTGTAGTTGTCACAGCAGAGAGGACTGTGCTGCCATCTAGTGGGTAGGTGCTGTTAGCCAGAGATGCCGTGAAACACCGGACAATTCACAGCCTCCCCCGACCCCTCAAGAAAGAATTATCGGGTCTAAAATGTGGACAGTGCTGAGGAAGGTGGCAATCCTGACTTAGATCATGGAGACACAAGGGGAGGTTCCACCCAGAATCGGAAATCCCCGAAGCACACCACTGGGAAGAGCCAGGGATGGTGGGACAAGGAGGATGTCCAGGAGCCTTTAAAACCCTAGAGATACTCGCCTGGATGGCTGCCATGCCAGAGTGCATTCAGTAAGGGAAGGAAGATGAAAAGTAACCCCATCTGAATGAAAAAAGGAAGGCTTTCCCTCTAATTTACTTCCCAGTTCAACTTCCAAGCCCTGAGAACCTTGAACCAGGTTGGAACTAAGGTGGGATGGGACTAGGAAATACAGGTGAGCAGAGAAAATGACAAAGGTAGCCTTACAACTTTTGAAATACTTTTCCTCATTCAACTTCAGCAGCAGCCAAAACATAGCTCATACCAATATTTCAATGGATTAACATGCCACAAAGAGTTCTGCTTTCTTTCCAAGTGGTAAAAATAATAATACTCTATAAAGGAAATTTCTACACCAAAGCTGATGCCGGCCTTAAATGTCCTTATCCTCCAAGATTAGACAATCATTAACAGAACTCTGATTTTGTTTCCATCTCTGCTTTTGCTCCCCAGCTCTGTCTTCATGCCACAGCAGTCTTGTCCTCCTTTAAAACTCAGATCACGCAGCTTCTCCAGAGGCTTCCCTCAGACCCCACTGCTTCTCCAGAACTTGAGTAGCCCTTTGCGTTAGTGAGATTTCCACCATTGTGACCAGGCAACACGTAGGGGTAAAGGTGTACTTTCACTCATAGCTTTGAAGTTTCCAGTCCATGGTCACTTGGCCCTGTTGTTTTGGGCCTGTGGCAAGGCAGTACCCCATGGCGCATTCACTTCATGTGGCCAGGAAACAGAGAGTGGATGTTGACCAGGACGCAGTAGCCCCTTAACGGCCCCCAGTGACCCCATTCTTCCCACCAGTCTCCCCAAAGTTTCCACCACCTTCCTCTAATACCACAGACTGAGAATGAGGCTTCAGCACACAGGACTTGGGGACGTTTCAGATCCAAACTATAGCATAGCACCCTTTGTTTTATTACATTTGTTGTGACATAAATTACTTGTGTGTTTTTTTTGTAGAACTTTGTATATTTATTTTATCATACTATAAGTGCAATCTTGTTAAATAATAGTTGTATGTCTAATGTATCCTAGTTAGTAGTAGTCTAATTTATCCCAGTTTTCCTTAATAACTTAGTAACTGATCAAGAAAAAAACATCAAAGTGATTTTCTAAACTCAGCAGTATTCTATGGCAAATGCATTTAGATTATAGATTTTACTTGTGTTGACTGGGTAAATAAATCTCATTTTATTTATTAAAGGCAGCTCCCTGCAGAAACAAAACTCTTCTCTCAAGTAATCTCCATGTGGAAAGAAATAATGTCAAAAATACGAAACAAACTGGAAGCTTTGCGAATAACAACTTCTGCAGGAGTCCTTGAAGTTCTGCAAAATTGCAATATACATCTTGAACACATAAAGAAAAGTCTTGAGGTAAAACAATACAACCTTGAGGTGGAGACTTTTTTAATTCTACGGAAGTAATGTAATACACTACAGACACTAACTCCGACACAGATGTTTTGCTGTACTCTTAACTGCCAACAATTTTTCCAGCTCTCATTACCTATTGCATTAATGAAAATAATATCAAAAGAAAAAAACAGACTGATCTAAATGACCTGCAGGCAAAGTACTAACTTTTAAGTGCTGGATTCCCTTATCTTTCAGTCGCCCTCTTGAGGGCCTTTGTCCTACTGAGATGCTGTCAAGAGCACGCACAAAGAAAGTACTTCTGGTTATCGACTAGCTCTAATATCATTAAATTGAGCAAACGTTGAAGTAGAATCTTTTGATGGTTCTATAAATCAAATGACTAACTTCATATATCTTTACACTGTCAGAACATGAAATTTTCAGCTGGACACTCACATCCATACAGACTGGGTTCTGCTGTTGAAGATTTGTGGTGCTCCTATTCATGTCCCTTCACGAGCCAAGGATTTTTTCAGGCGTCCATTGCTGTCCCTTGTTGAACACAGCAGCAGTGGTGTGAGGACCCTCCAGAGAGCCTGGGTGGGCACAGCAAGGTGATCTCTGTACAAATCCGTGCTCTGGGCAGGCAGAAGGAACTGCACCCAGAGATGTGATTAAAAGTAGCCAGTTTATGAGGCAGTCATTGAGATAAGCTGCCAGATACTCCTAGCACATCTCAAACTGAGGACCCATTACTAAGGATCATCACAAACCAGTAGACTTTCATTTATTTGTGTATTGATTGTGTACTCTGTACCAGGAACTATTATTGTCTGCTTGGACCGCAAAGTTAGAAGTCATCTTTTCTCCTATTTCAGAACTCAAAATCTGTTATAGAGGGGAAAAGTGAAGAGATATTGCAATGCTATGATGGGTTGGGTAGCATGGCCATGGCAAAGAGAAGACTTTACCCGGCTGGGGGAGCTGTGGCTTAGCAAGCTGTGTGAGGTAGAACAGAGCGGGTGGGTGTGAGGCAATGAGAAGTGCAAACTTTCTGGGCAGCAAGATGCCTGGGGATGGGTGAAAGTCGAGGTTCTCCAGGGAGCGCAAGATGGTGAGGGAAAGGCCTTGAATATTGCCAGACCTTGACTTTCATGAGCAGCCACCAAAGAATTTTAGGTAGGAAAATGAAATAATTTAATTCAGAAATGTCTCTCTGAAGAACAGTATGGCTTAGACACTGCTGTGGTTTGTTTCTTTTCTGTGGCACTTAGGAAAACACTCAAGATGAGAGGAATTCGCTTTGGCTCTTGGGGTGGGGGTGGGAGTGTCCAGGAGTCTGGCCCAGCTTCTGGCTTGGATTCCTGGCAGGAAAGTGAAAGGGCAGGTGAGCATATGTAGGAGACACACACAAGGAGTGGCTTCACCTCCTGGGAGTCTGCTCCAGGAACCCTCACCCTGTCAGCCTGTCCCCACAGCAGTCCTTTGGGGGGGTTGGGGGGAGATCAGGGTCCAGGCTGTGACCTGGCTGACAACATGGAGAACAGTCATTCACAGCAACAGGAGCTGGAGGAGGAGGTGGGTGTGGAAAGGAGTGCGTTTTGATCACAGTAAGAGCTCACAGGCTCTTCCAGGGAGAAATTGGGTACAGTCACCTTGCTTTGCAATTTCATTTTCCATGGTTTCTGTACTTAAAGTCTGACTACAGTCAGTTGCATTCTGGAAATATTTGGTGGAAAATTCCAGGAGTAAACAACACATACTTTATGAATTGTGATTCTTTCTGAGCATGTGATAAATCCTCAGCTGGCCAGTTCCACCCCTGGGACTCAGTGCACCCAGCTGCACTCTGCTCACTGGGCAGCCACCTTGGTCACGAGGCCTCTGCCTGGGGCTCACAGTGTGTGCCCAAGGATAAACAAGGCCCGGGGCCATTCACAGGCCAGGCATCTAGGGGTCCTGAAACATGTCACCACAGGTAAGGGCGACCTGGCAGCTGTGTCAACCTAGGGCAGAAAGTAGCAAGAGGAGCAAGGGAGGCTATGTCACATTGTGCAAGAGGGCACAAGAGCAATCGGGTAGAGCTCAACAGGGTTCAACATAAAGGTGCAGGGGACCAAGGGATTCCAGAGGGAAATGATAAAAAGAGTGAAATTAAAGAAATCAGAAGATGGGCCAGGGATTTAGCTCAGTGGTTCCAGTGCCCACCTTGTAAGTGCAAGGACCCTAGTTCAATTACCGATACCAAACAAACAAACAAAAAAAGTCAGAAGAGAGGGCAATCAGCAGAGTCCCATGCAGGGTGAAGACTGAGCAGCCCAAGCAAACTGGCAGAAGTTGAACCATGGCACGGTATGAGGTGACTGCTGTGGGCCATGTGAGTGAGGTAAGAAAACATCTTTCCAAGAGCCATGGCTGTGGACAGAGGTGGCTGGAGGTGAGCAGAGGGCAAGAGAAGTGAGAGAAGCTTCAGGGGGACCCCGGACCAGAAGACTAAAAGACACGAGAGCCAGGTGTCTTTGCCCAGCCTAAGTAAAGGTGTCTCCTGAAAACGAGAGACAAAACCAGCACAGAGCTGCAGGGAGGGGAGATGTCCAGTAGGGGGTGCAGTCACTGGTGAGACGGCGACTTCTCTAAGGGGGTGGATAAAGGGAGCCAGGAGCAGGTAGCTGGAAGTATGGGAAAGCAGTGCTGGTAGTACTTCCTGACCAGGAATAAGTGGTATATATGTGTAAGTGTGGTGTTCTGTGTTTCCTTCTGTTTGGCTTTCATTTAGTTTTAATTTATTAAAAACAAGAGTTGGAGGGAGAGGGAGGGCAGGGGGAAGGGACATAAAAATAATTCAGATGTTTTATGCACATGTGCAGACTCCCCAGGAGGAATGTGATCATTTTGAACTGCTCACAGGGACTAATAAAAATTTTAAAATATTAGCAATTTAAGGATAGTGTTCACTGAGCTTGGAACACTGTTTTAACGCGTGGCACATACACATTGTCACTTTGGCACTGTGGCTCTGGTGCTTAAATGTGGGCTCAAATGAGATGGAATTCACACCCTGATTTGACGTATATTCTGAATGGCGTTTCTTTTGCTTCTACACAGGATTACCTTTAAGTTAAACGAATGATTTTCCCAAGATTTTACTTTCTCAGCAATGCTGATCTTCTCGATATTCTAGCAGATAGCAGAAATCCAGAGTCTGTACAGGTAATGGCATTAATCTCTGTTCAGCAACGTTATTTCATTGCTAGGCCAGGGCTTTATGATGTTATCAACCTCTATTTCTGGTTCACAGCCTCATCTTGTGAAATTTTTTGAAAATATAAAGCAAGTCCTGATCTGGAGAGAGGAGTTTGGGCCTCCGGCCGTGAGGATGCTCTTGTCTGCTGAAGGAGAAGGTCTTGTGCTGCCCAAGTACGGCGATGGGATGTTCAGGCCCTGAACAACCTCATTTCAAAGTCTCTGCTTTGAAATTTCTGATGTTTCATAAAAGTTTCATACAAACATTTTCTCTAGACAATACGCTTATGTAAACACACTTTTACCTTCCTGGGCTCCCTACCTACCGTACACTCTTCTCACCTTTGTTTTAGTTAAAGGTTAAAAAAAAAAGAAACAGGTAATCCTGAACCCTGGATGCCTTCTAGTTTGTGCCTCCCTTTTGCTCCTTTACTATGCTCTGCCCAGGCTGCCTTCTGACTCTTTCCAGTGCTTGGCTCCTCTGGGGTTTTATCACATGAACATAGGAAGTTTGGGTTGCTGCCTCTGGTTGGCTGGTGGTCAGTGCCCAGGCAAGATCACGGGGCCCTGCTGTCCCGTACTCTGCTTGGCCAGCCCCACGAGGGTACTTGTACCCAAACCTCCTTGCACACCAAACCCTGGCCCAACCGTGCTGCTTAAGAAGGTTATGTGAGGAATCAAAAAATATTTTGTAATGCAATTTATCATATGCACTTATTTTTTAAACAGTCTAACCATTATGTATATCCACGGGTTTAGTGTCAGAATTTCCTGAAGCTAGTAATACGTTTTCTGCATAATTTTTCAGGTTAAAATATAGGGGAAAAACCCAAAAGATATAGAATTATAATACTTTGGCCCGTAAGTGTTATAAAAGACTGCGGTGGCTATCTTAAGCAAAATACAGTAAAAATTTATTTACATTGTTTCTACTAAATGTCAAAGAAAACTTGAAAAAAAGAAGATAGAGAAATAGGAAGTAGGGAGAAATATTTCAATATATACATGTTAATTTGTTTCATTTATACTACTAGGTCCTCTTAGTTCATTGAAAAGAAAGTTTTGTGCTGTTATCCATTTGCTTTTTTTTTTTTGTAAGAGTCTTTTTTTTTTTTGGTACTGGGGATTGAACTCCAGACCTTGCACTTGTGAGGCAGGTGGCAGAACCACTGAGCTAAATCCCTGGCCCTGTAAGAGTCTTATTTTTTTTTTTTTGTCTGTGACTTGTACTCTAATATTTTGGCCATTCTTTTAAGGTTATGGTACACAGTGTAGTAACTGATGTTATTCTTTAATTTGCTATGAAATTTTGCTTTATTTTTTCATAGAAGTAAGAATGCTTTTAAAAAGCACTTTATTAATATCTACTTTTATAACATTGAAATAAAAATAAAAGTATAGGAAATATCAAGGGACTGAAATATGAATAAAATAATATTTATAACATAATAATATTGTGTTTGAAACAAATTATAGGAAAATTCATATAAGAAGTGCTGTGGAACAGTGGCTGGTGAATGTAGAGAAAAGCATGTTTGAAGTGCTAAAAAAGTAAGTAGAGTCTGAAAGTGAAGCACTAAGTCACGTACTCCACGTAAGAGCGCACACAACTGATCCAAGTGGGAAGCACCCGAGAAGTCCCTTCTGAAGTGGGTTCTGACAGAGCATGATGTCACTTGTGGCCGTCTGAAAGCACTCGCTCCGCCTCTGCCTGCTTTCCGTGGGTCTGATGGACAGTACACCTTTCATACTTTGCCTTTCTGTTCTACTTATACTCCCTGGATGTGTTGACTTGCTTCATTCTATTTTTAATGTTATTTTTACATTAATCTGTCATGGGCGTCTGCTTAAGGTGAAGGAAGTGTCTCAGAGTGTGACTTTTTTTTTTTTTTTTTAGACAGGGTCTCACTATGTAGTTGAGACTGACCTGGAACTCACTGTGTAGCCCAGGCTGGTCTCAAACTCCTGAGTGCTGGGATTATAGGCGTGCACCACCGTGCCTGGCTCAGAGGGTGACTTTTAAAAAACTAATTTGACCAGAAAAGTTTTATTACATTTCTAATTATTTATTGCTGGTTAAAGAAAGGCTGATGTTGTTCCGCAAGCCATAGAAAGCTTTCCAGACACAGCAGACTGTCACTGACTCATATAGCCCTGCTGACTTCTCCCTGCCCAGGTCTCATCCACAGGCTGATGTGACAAGAACCAAATGTCCTCTTACCTGTAAGAGGGGACTTTTGTGTACAGAGATCCTGGAAAAAAATGAATCTAGGTGTTTAGATAAGAAATACAAGCAAGTTTTCAGTTATTGCCCTGGAATTTTTCTGATTACAGAAATCATATCATTTAATAAAAATGGTAGCCCTATATCTTTCTTCACAGTTCTTTAAAATATAGTTTTCTTTCCACAATATCTTGGATAATACATTTTATATAATATTGAAAAGTACAGGTGAGAGTGACATTCTTCTGTTGTTCCTAACTTTATTTGGAAAGCTTCTATTATGCTTATCTTTCTGGAGTGTTCCCCTTATCAAACTAATGATATCTATTCAGATTTTGCAAAGATTTTACATACTTTATATTATTATCTTAAAAGGACAAAAATGCTTTATATTATTTATGGGGAACAATACAGTGCTACCTGGGTTCATGAACTTAATTCATCTCAAGATTCTGAGGAAGATGGACACAGTTGTGTTCGTCACCCAACACAGAGGTCATGAATAGAAGCAAAATTTTGCCAAGCACTTCTGTTCAGGAACTGAATTGTTCACAAACAGAAGTGGTCATGAGCTGAGGTATTACTGTATATAGCATACTATATGCATGATATCTGTATATATACGCAATATATGTATTTATAATATATGCAATATATATAATACACATAAATCAACACATTGTCTAATAGATTATGGAATGACTAAATCAAGCCAATTAACATAGTCAGCATTTTATATACTTAATACTTTGTGGTGAGAACATATAAAATTTACTCGATTGTTAAATCTATACTACATTAACTATTACCACCATGCAAGGCACCACTAAAACTTCCTCCTGTTCAACTAAAAGCTCAGTACCTTTGGTTAATACTGCCCCGTCCTTGTCCCTGTCATATCCACCCACACGCAGCCTCTAGGTATCACCACTCTACTCTCTATGAACTCTCTATGATCCCCACATGTGAGATCATGCCTTGTTTGTTTTTCTACACTAGTTTATTCCACTTAGCATATTGTTCTCCGATTCCATCCGTGTTGTCGCACATGGTGGAACCCCCTTCTTCTTAGCAGTGGTGTAGAGTTTCACTGTGCATGTGAACCATGTGCTCTGTACCTGCCCTCAGTTACTTCCCGATCTTGGTTACTGTGAATGATGTTGCAGTGAACAATGGAGTGTAGCTCTCTCTCCACCATACTGATTTCAACTATTTGGTCACTGTACCTAGTAGTGGACGTGCTGAATCATATGTTAATTCTGTTTTTAATTTTTTGAGGAACCTCCATACTGTTTTCCTTAGTGGGTTGTGTCTTGCAACTTTATTGAACTTCTTATTCACTTGTAAAACTATTTTGGTGGAGTCTTTAGGATTTTCTCCATATAAACTCATGCCATCAGCAAACGGACAATTTTACCTCTTCCCTATTATGATTCCTTTTCTTTATTTCTTGTCTACTTGCTCTGGCTAGAATTTCCTGTGCTGTGTGAGATAAAGGTGGTGAGAGTGGGCATTCTCATTGTTTTCCTAATTTTAGAGGAAAATGGTTAAACTTTTCACTGTTAAATATGATGTTAACTGGGAGATTTTCATGTATAGCCTATATTGTGTTAGGGAACATTCCTTCTATGCTGAATTTTTTGAGAGTTTTTTTTAAAAGGATAATGAATGTTGTCAAATGTTTTTTCTATATCTGTTGAAACAATCATATGGTTTTTATCCTTCATTTGTTAATCCGATGTATCTTATTTATTGATTTGTGTGTGTTGAGCTATCCTTGTATCTCTGGGATAAATCATACTTGATTGTGGAGAATGATCCCTTTAATATGTGGTTGAATTTGGCTTGCTAAATTGTGTTGAGGATTTTTGTGTTTATGTTTATCAGAGATTGTCTTAGTTATTTTCCTCATCGCTGAGACAAAATACTCAACACCCAAAGTTAAAAGAAGGAAAGATTTATTTTGGCTCAGTTTCTAGAGCTTTCAGCCAATAGTCAGCTGGTACCAAGGCAAGGCAGCATGGTAGAGGGGCATCACAGAGAAAAACAGTCCATGATGGGGTACACAGAACGCAGTGAACAGCAAGCAGCAGCAGCAGCCAGCATGCCTTTTCCTTTTATTTCATCCAGGCTACCAGCCTTTTTGGTGTGCCACCCAGAGCTATGCTAGTTCCAGTCGATGGACTAATTTAGTACCACACACCCTTATTGCCAGTATCACATGCCCTAGATCCAATCAGGCCTGAAAAGCCCCTCCTATGAGCACATCAGGCTTTCAGGAGACATCTAGATAGAAACCATAGCAGAGATAGTAGCTAAAATTTTCTTTTCCTATAGTTTCTTTGCTTGGCTTTGATATGGGATAATGGTGACCTCGTAAAACGAATCTGGAAGTATTCCTTCTCCAGTATTTTGAAAGAGCTTGAGAAAGATCGGTAATAGTTATTTAAATATTTGATAGTGGTTCCACCACCTGCCTTGCAGTGCAAGGTCCTGAGTTCAATCCCTGGTACCAAACAAAAAAAAATTTTTTTATATAATTCAGCAGTGAAGCCATCTGGACCTAGGTTTTTCTTGAAGGTACATTTTTTTTTTATTATTGACTCTATCTCTTTACTTATCAGTATATTCAGATTTTTCTGTTTCAAATTAATTCAGTCTTCATGGGTTTTATGTGTGTAAGAATTTGTCCATTGGGCACAGTGGCCCTTGCCAACTACTCAGCAGCCTGCTCCTCGATTTCTCTCTGGCTTCCTCCTGTTTCAAGATGTGATCTCTTTCTCTTACGTGGCTCCTGCTCTCTAAGAGTACCTTCACCAGAGCCAGCACTATGCTGTTTGAGCTTCTATCTTCCAAAGCTCTAAGCTCAATGAAACTTTTAAAGTTAGTTGCTCATGCTGTTTCATTATAGTAACAAAAATTACCCTAGTGCATTTCTGATATATCCCAGAGAACATTCTGTATGTATTCAAGAAGAATGTGTATTCTGTTGCTTTTAGAACGTTACATACACTTCTCTCTGGTCTAAAACATAGTTCATTCACCTCCTGTGTTTCCTTACTGACTTTTTGGAAGGCAGCTATGCTGACCACTTTACCATTAATGCAAAATGTCCAATAATT